TTTTCTGATTCACGTAAGCCTTAGAATGCATTGAAGCCTCGCGATTGTGCTTCCCGCGTCTATCAACCAACGAGATGAAGTTCGCCACAGCCATATAATTGCAATCTGTTATTACCAAAATACCTTACCTGCAGTGAGTTATCAGCGCTGCCGGGCCTGACGGTAACGCAACGTCTTCCAACTCTAGGCTAGCGGTCATGCTACTGCAGACACCCACACAACGCACTTGGCTGGCTCCCATTTGCTATGGCGTCCCCCGCGGAAGTCGTCACTTGCAGCCAAATTTCCGTGAATAGAAGACAGATGTGATAGTGGCTGCATAAGCCAACCTCCGCGGGGCGAACCTCAGCAGAATGGAGCTCGGTAGCATAGGTTCCCGCCTTGAGCACCACCACCCACCACTAGTAACGGTGCAATAGAATTTTTTGTTTCTGACAGACTGACACTGACAGTCAGTCATGGAGCATCGCTTCCGTATTTCGTGCTCAGCTCTGTTCCGCGTTGCGTTTCATTCTATAGTTCACACCGGTAGCTTGGTTCCACCTCGATACTCTTTAGGAGAATTGAAAAGCAGACGACGTCCCGGTCCTGGAGGCTTCGACCCTTCAGATTATTGTTCCATGCCATTCTTGTCTAAAACTTACTATCACACAACTTGAAGTCCCGTTATTCCTTCTTTATAACCCCGTTGAACAGCTGGCCTTACACTTCCTATCCTCAGCAAAGTAGACTATCACAACACAACCATAATAGTACATGTTGGGTCTAGGACACTCCCACAAAATGGACGTAATAGGAGTCTGACGGGCTGGCTTGCCAAACTAGTCAACGCTTCGTTGCACGAGATCAGCCTCTTGTTTCTCCTCCTTTTCACTTCCTTTGATCCCGTCTCGTACCGGATAACCTTTGCTATACGACATCGCAGCTGAGTTCATTTCCATCCACGGGCCCTTGCATGACTTTAAAAAACTCTTTGTCACTCCAGCCATGGATACTGTTGCCGATCAAGACCTTTACAGCCCGAACAATCATCGTTTGTCGAGCAGACTTATGTTCCTACAATATGCATGAAACCTTAACAATGTTTTGTTTCCGCAAGGAGCATTTCACATTCCCAAGAGGTCATCTCGGCAATTCGTACTTGTCGTTATCCGCGCCTTGGCAATTTTCCCTCGTGGCGCTGCCGTTGCACAACATGCGTGTTGCCCAAATTTTAAACATCCGTACGCTGCAGCCCGTATTTCTGCCTTTTATTTCCTTTCACCTCATCGAAGAACATCATGTTCATCAATGCTCTAGAATTCTTATCGGTGCTGAAATTTGAATGTTCTCTGTTAATCGGGCCGAAGAGTCATAGCGCCCTGCGCTACATTCTGTATTCTACGGCGTGTCATCCAGCCGGCAAGTCTTGCGGTGAGATCTGGAAGCTCGACTGCTTGAGGATGTTCAACGGGACACGATGGGCAATCTAGAATCACCAAAAGTCTCAACACAAAACCATCTGGGTAAGCACGACCTGTGCCGATTCGGTGCTTTTGGAGCATGTGTGACTTTACCCATCGCGTGAATCGGTCTGTGTCCCGCAAAAAAGGAGGCCGTTTGGGTCGTACGTCCTGAAAACATGAGTGGGAAGCAATCAATCCCACTCATCAACATGTCTTCGTTTTGCAAACTCATCCTTGACATACGACCGTGAGTCCTGTTTTCGCGATGCCACCGCTGTTTGCTGAAACCAGTCATCTCTATCGTGAAGACTTATAAAATGGCTCTATCTACTGCGAGTCTGAGAACCAGAGTATTTTGTGAACATCATCAGGACAAGTAAAACACTCAAGACTCAAAATACCTACAATGGCCTTCAAATTCGGACTCATCCTCGCCGCTCTCGCCGCCACCCAGGCGCTCGCACTCCCATCTGTGCTTCCCCAACCCGCCGACCCCGAAGATTGGACGCTCCTTGACTTCCGACGCACCTGCGTCGAAGACCAGAGCCGATGCAGCTACAGCTTTCTCGTCTCCGAAGACGCGACAAAGGCGCCAAAGTACTGCAACTTTGACATTGACGCCGCCGGCGGGCTGCCCGCGTACCAGACCGACTTCTCGTCCCTAAAATGCCCCGGCGGACCAGAGTACACCGTCAACGGCGGCTGGGACGAGCGCGAGTTCATAACCTTGACGATCATCAACGACGAGAGGAAGCTTCTGTCCTTCTTCGCCTACAGGGACGTCGACCTCTGGGCCGGCGATGGTGCCGCGCCGCAGCAGTCTACGGTGTACATCTACCCGATGCCGGCGGTCAAGCGCGATGTCGAGACCAGGGAGGAAGAGGTGAACCTGCCATATGCCTCTGCCTGGAGGATCAAGGACCTTGTCAGATGTGAGTTTGATATGTTTATAGTGACTGCCTCTGTTGGTTTTATATCAACAGTTTGTTGACACAGTTGTGAAGATGAATTCAATCGAGGACAGCCTTACAGCGATGCACTCATCATGAGATTCGGCATCCAGGCTCTTGGAACTCCAATCGAACAATGCCTCCTCATCATTCCCCTGTTCGAAGGTACTCGGCCGCTGGGCATGAGCTTCTACGACGCACCCTGCGACTACGGTGGATGGACGGCTTCCTGGGGCCACAACGAGACTACGGACGAGGCGGTCTTGTCCCTGATGAAGTAAGAGGTGCCTCACTATTTCCGGGTTCCGACAGAGCTGACATTATTTTGCAGTGCAAACCATGATAGAATTGCGTACTTTGGGTACAACAATGTCAGCACCAACGTTGTTCTTGGCAGCAACGGTCCTAGACCTGTCTCACAGCTGTAGCTGCTTTCGGCTTTGAAGACAAAAGCGGTGTAAGATGGCTTGAAACATTCGCTGGCCAGTCAGGGGGACGTTGGAAAGTGGCCACCTGCGCTTATGATACTTACTTGTTGGAGCAGATTTCGTAGGATTTCCATTCTAGTACAGGATATGGGGTTTAATTGACTGTAATTGGCCGGTTGGGTTAATAGAAAAGAGACTTGTTGGCTTGTTTGCCAGAACTGGCGCGCATGATGATGATGATGATGTGAATGACAACATTGTGTTTGCCGCGCCCATTGTTTCGGTCTTCAAAATCCGGCCATCTTTCAAAGATGTTAGCGATATTGTTGGAACTTCTCTAGTAGTACAATGCTGTGCCAATGAACCGAGAAAACCAGTACTGGGGTCGGGCCGTGGTAAACGGGAAACGATGAAGATCGAGGGCGAAGCGCTGGATGACTTGGAGCGCTACCCGGCTGTTTGCTACTGGGCCGCCGGAAGTCGACAGCAGACTTGCGTTCGATTCGCTGGCCTACGCGCTGGCAGTACTCGGAGAGCCCCGGAAAGAGGTTGGCACGTTGGTTGGAGTCTACAGTGGCAGAACAGGACAAAGAGGTAAGGAAAGTCACGGGTTGAGCGAATAAAGCGAGGAGGCAGGGCCAACTTCTCCACCGTTACCACTGTGTCGGAAGAGCCTCCTATCCAACGGTGCGACTTTCCCGAGTATCGATCGGCAAGGAAGCCCCTTCAAGCGACATGCCGTTGGCTGAGGGGCCGGAGGCACTGGCATGATGAGGTCGTAAACGAGGCAAAACACGCGGGCAGCGTGACCATGTCTCCGTGCAGTCAACCCCCTTGCTGGCTGCGCTGGCTGGTCGATTCCCCGGCGCAGCAAACCGGTCTCGTGCATTCTCATCTGTATCCATAATAACCAGCGCGCCTGCAGATCATAAGTCCAGAGGTAAGTCCGGTGGTCCGGGTTTTGTACCCGAAGCTGCTACGCAGCGGGTTTTTCGCCCGTAAGGCAAGTTACGGTCAGCGCAGTCACACACTCATCATCTTTCTGCGTTATTGTGTGACTCTAACCACTGACCATGGGCTGTTCCGTTACGCTGCTCGTGGCTGTATGACGATAACTCCAGAGATACGGCTCAGCTCTTCGTCACGATGCTCGATGATATAGGCTTCTTCCTGCTGCGGAAACTCAGCCTTTGAAACCGAGGCACCCAGAGTAAAGGCACAATACTACGAGATAATAGTAAGGCTGCGAGGTGGGGGATCTTGTCTCTCCTGAGTTCTGAGTTCAGGTTGAGTTGGGCGCCAGGGGATGCTTAACGTCTGCGCCCGTTGTAAAGTGACGGAACATGGTCAGATCCCTTGCCCAGCAGCAGCATCGAAATCTACCAATAAGCAGCTCGTACTTGATATGCTGTTGGTGCATAGTGTCGAGCAGCAAGCAAGGATTCCGCAGTACGAGACGTTGCAATTGGACAACTTGGGAGAGAACGTCGACCGTAGGCGGAACTGGCGACATAGAGGTTGTACCAGATGAGGTTAGTCTTCATCGAGAGACTTAAGGTCAGGTCGCTTCGAAGGAGACGTGGTGGAGTGCCATGGCAGTCAATCACAGTGGACTGAATGCGCGTAAGTGGTCCGTGCCGGCATGCATCTGGCGAAGTTGAGGGCGAGGAGACGGCTGGTTGAGGGTGACGAGTGGCTTGCAGCGTGCAAGTGGCTCCAGCAGAGACCCCTGGCTCGCAGACAGCGGCAAACGTCGCCATCCTGTTGGTTGGCCTTCATCACCATCAACGCACTTCATCAATTGGCTGGGAACCCGGGAGGCAGGTACCTCTACTCGTCTCGGCGCCTTACCCCGTGGTCGGAATCCATCGAGTGTAACTTATCTCCCATGCCCGCTCTCTAAGTGTACTCTTTTCCCCGCCCTCCATAAACTGTCTTCGCCCACAATATCACCTAGATTAGCTCACGCTAGCCTTCTTGTTCTCTTTTGCCTCAACTCCAACTTTACACCTCCTCCGCCATCGTGAACTCGTCGTCTTCGTGGATGTCTCTGACAGAGCCAGATTGCTCTTTGCTTTCCCTTGCGGCGAGACGTGCGACCGGTCGAGGTGTCATTGGAGATCGAGCAGTTGTCGACTTTGTTGGTTTACCTTGCTGTAGTGTAAACGTGTTTCAGGATGAGGATAGGCTGCCTTCAGTTCGCTCCTCAGGTGGGCGATATCGACAATAACCTCAACCGCGCCGATTCGTGTCTCAACAAGGCGAACACGGACGACCTCGATTTACTTGTCCTGCCTGAGCTGGCCTTCACAGGTGAGTTTTGCGACTTATACAATCCTTGCGCCCCTCCCAAAGGTAATGCGAGCAGGCGTTGAGTACTGTGATTCTAACTCCCGACAGGATACAATTTCAAGTCGCTGCAGCACATCTCGCCCTATCTTGAACCCTCCGGCTCTGGCATCACCGCGCTATGGGCCCGCACGACTGCTCTCAAGTACAACTGCAATGTGGTCGTTGGTTATCCGGAGAAGGTAGATGTCTCCAACAACTGGCCAACGGGCCCGGAGTACTACAACTCTGCGATTGTAGTCAACGGAGATGGCGAAACGATAGCCAATTACAGAAAGAGCTTTCTCTACTACACAGACGAGACATGGGCCCTGGAAGGGAACAAAGGGTTTTACGAAGGTTGGATCCCTGGTCTGGGTAACACCTCCATGGGAATCTGTAAGCACATCTCCACCTCCCTTGTCGATTTCGTGCAGCTAATCCTTTGACTTGCAGGCATGGATCTGAAGTAAGTCAAACAATGAGAACGCGCAAACAATGTACTGACTTGAGATAGCCCTTACAAGTTCCAAGCCCCTTGGCATGCGTTCGAGTTCGCTTTCCATGTACTCGAGTATGAGTCGAATTTGGTCATCGTGTCCATGGCATGGATGACTCGGGAGGACGGACGGCTTTTCAGCCGGATGCCTAACGAGCCAGACATGGACACCTTGACCTACTGGGTCACTCGGTTGGAACCTCTCATTCGATCAGAGAATGATGAGGAGATCATTGTCGTCTTCTGCAATCGCACCGGCAACGAGGACGAGGCTGTGTATGCTGGTACCAGTGCAGTCATCGGGGTTCAAGATGGTGAGGTCAAGATCTATGGTCTTCTCGGTCGAGGCGAAAAGGAGCTCTTGGTCATCGACACCAACAATCCTCCCTACGCGAAGCTTGTCTATCGCCCTGAGCCAGACAAGCCATCGGCAGTTCATTCCGAGTTAAAACAGACTGGCGCTTCTCCGTCCTCGGTCAACGGTTCAGCAACTAGCTCTCCCCCTCGACAAGGAGTAACCAAACATGGCGTATCCACGCACACCCCGACGCAGCCAACGTCTCCTCCGCAAAAGTCGTCTTTCACCCAAAGCTCTTCTTCCCAGAAGCATCAGGTGAAATCCCCATCTTCGAGACAGGCGAAATCCCCGCCCAAGATTGAGATTCCCTCCAACACAGGGTCTTACACCAGAGACACTCCTGACAGCATCAACCTTCCGACGCCGACTGCTCCAAGCCCTACCCCTCAGGCCATCCGACCGAAACTGATCATTCCGCAATCACCACCTCTTCAGCCATGGCAGTCCGGCAGCCCAGTGCCTCAGAGCAGTCAATCCATTCAATCAGTTCACTCGGTTCTTTCAAACCACTCTGTTCAGTCTAATCCACGACCGCCTGAGGACAGCACCCCTTATCCCCACAGTGGCGCTCCTTTGAGTGGTTATCCCAGGAAAGGAGGCTTAGGAGGGGCGGAGAAGAAGATTTATGGCGGGAGTGTTTCCATCACTCAAGTGCCTTTCACCCCAATCACGCCTTTCGAGGACCAGTCGCCGATGGCACAGCGGTATTTCTGGCGGCCCTCCGATAGCCTTTTGGAGGCGCCAATGGAGTCTCACGAGAAGCAATCAGTCGCAGAGCCAGATGACACGAGGACCCAGACGTTCCACTTCCCGCCCTTCACGCAGAATGAGCCAGCAGCGCGGACACACTCTTCAAACTCCATGCGCACCGTAGCCACGGCTGGCAGTTCAAGGTCAAAGAAGACGAACAGCGATCAGTCTTCAAAGGAGAAAAGGCGTGCACCTTCTCAAAATTCCAAGGCACGTCGCTCAAGCAAGTCGCGCTCTGGAGACTCCAACAGCTCAAGAGGAGAGGTCTCCAGAGGCGACTCTTCCACGCCGGCTCGGCCCTCCTCGCCGAAGTCCCGGAACGCCAGTCGCACGAGAATGCTTGATCGATCTGAGTCCGCTATGGCACAACGTGAACAGGCTTCACAGCAGCTGGGGCCCATCTCTCAAAGAGCAGAGTCGGTGAACAGAAATCGGGGTGCATCAGAGGAGAACGGAACCAGTACACCGCAGCCCGATCGGCCGTCATCGCCGAAGTCTCGCAACTGCAGCAGAAGCCGCCCAAGTGAGCATCTCTCGTCTATCTTGATTGCAGCCAGTCCGAGTATTTACCATGACGAGTACAATCGACGATCGCTCCCGGCACTACCGGACACACAGAAGACACAACCCCAGCGACCAATGTCCCGCATGAACCAGCGCTCTAGGACCGGCTCGGTCACTGAGATTGACAAGAACAACCTGTGCAATGCCCGCCCTTCATCGAGGGCTTCGGTCGGAGGAGAGCAGTCGAGCTTACGCCCCGCCTCTCGTGCTGCTAGCCGAGGACGACAGCCCGGTTCTAAGTTTTCGCCGCCCAAGATGTCACCACGCGATCCTTCTCTCCCTCCGGAGCAAGATCCTGATGATATTGTTCGAATTGTGCGCGAAAGAGCGAGCTCCATGGCTTCTAAGCCTGGTATGGGCTCGCCTTCTTCCGAACCGGCGTATGAGAGGGTTGAAGCCATCGTGTGTCCTACTTGTCCTGTCCATGGACGGCATTCAACCTCTTCCGCCCCAGGTGACTCTTCGACGTTGCTAGGGCACCGAATCTCTCCTGACCTGAGCGTTGGCCGATCTTTGTCCTCTCCCGCGGCAGCGACTACCGTCGGCAATGTCGCTGTCGCGACCACCAGCAAAGTAGGAGACGACCCCAACTACTCAATCACTGGATCTAACAAGCCGAGTGACGCAGGCTCACTAGCTGAGACCATCGAAACAGTCTCAACGACGAGCCGGTCACCATCCACGCCACGGTTTGAACCGAAAACGCCCCGGGCCATGGTAGTTGTTCGCGATGTCGAAGTACCTGGCATCAGAGATGAACTTCCTTCAGAGCTGCTGGCAAAAAGCTTCTCCGACCTGATCTGCACGGATAGAAATGTCGGGCCACCTTCAGACGGTCCACCTGCTATTGCAGCTTAGATACTCGAACCAGAGTTTTGGCTCATGCCTTGTTCATGATGTTTTTCTTTTCTTTCTTTCCTCTTTCTCTTTTGTTCAGCGATGATTGTGGGCATTGTTCGCAAGGGCATGGATCTGTCATTGAGATGAATGATACCTTAGCGCATAATGAATGACAGGTAGGGGAAAACATTGACATGACTTTATTGGTGAGATGAATTAGGACGGGATTGGAGTCGACTGGAGGGCGATAGTGTGACCTTCACCTGTATCTACTACACTATCGTTGCAATTTTGCATTTACCTAATTGAACTCAATAAGGTCCAATCTTATGCCAGAGACCGACGGCAAACAAACTTTGCGTACGCGATGTGCAAAGTCTACGATGCTAGCATAGTCCAGCATTGGAGTCCCAAATTTGCCCAGGTGTTCAGATGCGACTTACACTCGATCACAGTGACACCCACAGATTCTCCCCTCTCGGACGGACCTGCAGGCGTTAGATCGCAAAGAGGCATGGAACCGAGTGGGTATGACGGCCTCCGGGACTCGAGGCCGGATCGTTCCGCCGGTTTGATGAGTCGATGATCATAAGGTGGCCATGGTCAATGATCCGCAGGCCTCTTATGCCCTTGAGAGCATCATGGTAAGCTCACGATAACCCACCCGGTCGAGGCTCAAGTAATTGATTGTTCCGGGGCATATCGCACCAACCACGGGAGCCAGGAACGCCTTGATTCCTTTGCGTTCAGGGCGCTAGGCCGTCCAACGGGTCTCTTCCGCCAGCAGACAAACATACTCGACGACCAATCACCTAACGAAGAGGGGTTCCCGCCGCCCCGAATGAGGTCGCTGAAGTGTGAAATCAAACAGGGATTCTTGCATCTTAGCTCCATAGCCCATCCAGGGTTGTTGCATTCTAAGTGGCTGGGGCCGACCAGCAGTCTGCACGCCACCGTCCACCTCGGCGCTAGGAGGACGAAGCAACGAGAGAGACTGAGAGAGAGCAGGCAGATCTGTATCTCTCGCCATTTGGCCCCCGCATCCACCAACAACGAGAAGCCAACGGGCGGCGGTGTGTTATTGCAGACCATTGGGGTTCTTGGCCACAACCAACGAGGCCCTTTCAGCTTACCCTTCAAGGCAGGTTGCGTGCTGTTCACCCGGCCTGGTGGTCGAGGAGACCAACCCAGAGGCCCTACGTAGTGATGGCTCTTCCCCAAGGTGTGCTGACCTCCGTGCCACCCCAATTCTTCTGGGACCCCAATCACACACACCAGTACGGAGTAGAACCAACGAGGTGATGAGAATGCAGAGACCTGCGCCCCTCGTCACAATCACAACCGTAACCAACTTCTCTCTCGCAAACACCGAAACACATATGAAGCTTGGTTTCGCATGGCTTCGGTGTCGCTGTGACTAGTCGTCACATCGTGAAGAACCTCTCGAGATCATCGGATCGCGGCTTCGCCCAGAACATACAAAATTTCAAGCTTCCCACCCGGCGCTCAGGCTTTGCTTCAGTTTTTCGGACTGCAAAATCCACTTCCACGCCGGAATGTAACACCAGCGGACCTCGCCCCTCATCATTCGACTTCAGGCCCGGTCAACTGACCTTCCGCGTTGCAGTCAATCGCCCTTCCGCGGTGATCGCATTGTAGGACGTAATAAGCGAAGAAGAAACACACGTACACAAAGCCGGCCTTTCGCTTTATCTTTCCCAACATGAGAGTTACGACAGGCGCACTTGTGGCCGGTCTCTGGCTCGGCCGGGTGTCTGCAATCCACGTGGCCGATGGTTCACCTTGCGAGACACTCTGCGGCAACGTACTCGACTCGACGACTAAGAATGACGTTGTTTGCGACGAACACTCGTACTCCAGCAGCGCGGCTGGCTCTGTATATCAGCAGTGCATATCTTGCGAGTTGACCAGCGACTTTGCGACTGCTAGTAACCAGACAGACACACAATGGCTACTGTGTAAGTGCAAGTGCCGCTCCTTCGAACGTGACTTTCGTACTCACATACACATCTGCAGACAACCTCAGATATGCCGTTTCTTATTGCGTCTTCGGCTACCCAGATAACCCAGACGTCGGTTCAAGCCCGTGTCTAACAAGGTTTGTCTCCCTCTGAAGCGCTGCTAGGTTTACCTCCTAATCTCCAATTAGGACTGCGTGTGAGCCATTGCAAAACGCCATCAAGTACGGTGACTTAGCCTCCAATGCTACCGAGTATGAATACTGCGATGTATGGGACCATAACCAGGTCGCCAGTTGCTCAGCATGTCTCCGCGCAGGAAACAACAATTATCTGACCAATTGTATGTACCGCAACGGCCATGGTCTTGAAGTCCGACTGACAAGCTGCCAGTTATCACCATCTTGGATGCTGGATGCGAACAGAAGCCGACGCCCGGTACAACGGTTTCTGTGGAAGGCTCCCCCTTCTCGAAGACTCGCGTGAATATCACTGAGCCGACACCCACCAACACATATGTTTCAAACTACAACAAGGGACCCATCAGTCTAGGCGGTATTGTCGGCATCGCCATCGGAGGTGCAGTCCTGCTTCTTGCCATGGCTGGTTTCTGCATCGTATGGAACGGTAAGAGGAGACGTAGGGCGTACCTCAAGCAGCTTGAGATGAAGCAAAAGGGCCCGTCCGGATGGCCAGCGCCGTTGAACCTTGCCGGCCTCAACGGCACTCCACTGAGCCAGCGTCCGCTGCGAAGCTGGGATGACACGCCACAGAGTCAGGTGTTCCCGCGGACGTATGATGACTCGCCATTGAGCCCGCAGGGAGAGAACGCGTTTCCGAGATACTTTTCGCCGTACTCATCTCAGTACAACAGTCCTGTCAGTGGTACTGAAGCGCCACATATGCAGTGGCCGGCCAACCAAGCAGCCCCAAGCAGTCAGCAGCAGGAGATTGGCCTGGCTTTCGGAGGCGACGATGCGGGGCACAATTGGCCTGAGGATAAGGGTAAGGGGAAACCCGAGGCCTATGAGCTGAGAGAAGTCGATGGCGACTGGGAAGCACGGCAGGGACATGCCAGCCCGCCAATCCTTCAACACCCAGCACATCAAACACATGCAGAGTACGACCGAGCGACATATCAAGGGATGACTGAAGAAGAATTTAGGAGGAGGTATATTTGATCGGCGATGGAATACTTGAGAAACAATGCGAGATTTCGAAGTTGATCTGGCGCAGCTGTCATTCATGAGGGCAATAGGCTTGTTAATTAGCGGGAGTTTGGAGTTGGAGATACCGATTGAACAAGATCGGCTCGGTCGCAGAGTAGGCCTACTTGCAATGAACGTGAGATATCGTCATAAGTGCAATTGACCAATTAGCATCAAGACGAAGAAAAGGAAGGAAGGATAAGGAGATATGCTTCCTGTCAATGTGATTCTGAGGTTTACCTTAGCCTGTCGTCATTCGTCCCATGTCCCTTGTGGACGGGAGGTATCGTTGATAACGATAACAAGCCACTTTCTTTGGTTGTTCTTTCCTTCCAAGTTTTTTTTGCAAGACGGCTGGTCCCTGGCTGAGGAAGGCGGAACGGTGCAAGGCGCGTCCGCTGTGTGGCTAGGCGTTGGAGCGTGACCAATCGTGTTTGCTCAATGGCAACACCGCGCCACAATGTGGACCCAGACGGATTTTTTTTGGCAGCTTCCACCCCACAGCCAGAGAAAAAAATTTGGATTGGGAAGCTTCAAGTCCTCCAACACCACGAGACCTTCCATTCCGACGTTCACGAGCCAACGTCAGACACCCATTGCACCTGACACGCCTTTGTCGGTTCGGTTCAATTCGGAAAAAATGGCCATGGAAATTGTCAAGCACGGTGAGGAGGAGGAGTTCGCCATCAAGCCCCAGGCCTCTGTCCCTCACCTGGACACGAGCAGCTGGCCTCTGTTGCTCAAGAACTACGACAAGCGCAAGTTTTCTCCCTCTTCTTGGATATGGAGCGACCGCTCGTCAACAGCATCACAAACAAATGACTGACCAGGTTTCTTGCAGTTCTCGTCCGGACGGGTCACTTCACCCCCATTCCGGCAGGATGCAGCCCTCTGAAGAGAGACATCAAGTCCTACATCTCTTCCGGTGTCATCAACCTTGACAAGCCCTCCAACGTATGTTTCCGTAGTCGCGATACTCCATATGTCTAGTCAAGCATACTAACTATCGTATAGCCCAGTTCCCACGAGGTTGTCGCTTGGGTCAAGCGTATCCTTCGGTATGCAATTCCCACCCCTTCGTTGTTGTGTTCATGAATGCAATGCCCCGCGCCCGATCGTACAATTAGCTCCCGACATCGAAGACGAATCTCCCTACGGCAATGACCAGCATCAAAATTTGGCATGAATGGTGGCTCTTGATTAGCGAGTTCCGACGTCGACAAGACGCATTTTGCAGATGGCTCCACACGATGCGGTCGGGGACTTCCCGGGGGAAAACTTCCAACGACATTGCGACTCGATGGTCATGGCCTACACGGAAATATGGCAACAAAGACTAGCATGTCATGTTGGGAAAGATGTGTATTGCCATGGGAAGGCATGCCTCGCGAAGCAATCGTCGGAACTCGTTTGCCCGGACCACCATAAGACTGCGACGTCTTGGGGACTGCGGATACTGCCGTTGCCGTCTATCAACCGAGAACACACACGATTGAACGATTTTGAGGGGCATTCGCTTATCTTTCAGAACGTTCTGAGTTTTGTCGAGAAAACATCGCTAACCATGTTTTTCTGTTGTGCAGCGTTGAGAAGACCGGTCACAGCGGTACCCTTGATCCCAAGGTCACTGGTGAGTCGCGTTCCCACATAACTGTCTCGAACTTGTTTTGCTAACTTTCTCAGGTTGCTTGATTGTTTGGTGAGCAGCAACCCACCAAAATGCGATGGAGCATTCCTTGAGAGAATTGCAACTGACGAAATTTTCCAGCGTCGACCGTGCCACCAGACTCGTCAAGTCCCAGCAGTCTGCTGGTAAGGAGTACGTTGCCGTCATCCGCCTTCACGACAAGCTGCCCGGCGGCAAGGTCCAGTTCGCCCGCGCTCTCGAGAGTGAGTTGATTCAAGAAACCCCGTTGCAACTGCCGAAAGTATTCTGACTCGCGATGCAGCTTTGACTGGTGCCCTCTTTCAGCGCCCTCCTTTGATCTCTGCCGTCAAGCGTCAGCTGCGTATCCGTACCATTCACGAGAGCAAGCTCATCGAGTTCGACAATGTACGTCGATCTGCTACAACATTGGGAAACGACTGCTGACCGTGTCTCAATCACAGGATCGCCACCTCGGTGTCTTCTGGGTTTCTTGCGAAGCTGGAACCTACATCCGTACCCTCTGCGTCCATCTCGTACGTCACATTGATTGTCGTTAATTCAGCCTTGTTCTGATTGCTTACATGGATTAGGGTCTGTTGCTCGGTGTTGGTGGCCACATGCAGGAGCTCCGAAGAGTGCGCTCTGGTGCCATGGGCGAGAGCAAGGAGATGGTTACTCTGCACGACGTGCTTGATGCTCAGTGGACCATGGACAACACCAGGGATGAGTCTTACCTGCGCAAGGTCATCTCTCCCCTGGAGACTCTTCTCACTGGCTACAAGCGTGTTGTGGTCAAGGACAGCGCTGTAAGTAATCCATTGCAACCCCTCTCTCCAAACCCCTCACGGCCCGATGCGACTTTGCGGACAATGTCTCAGTCGCGTTAAACACATGAATCGCCGTTGCATCTGATATTGACGTACCTCACAGGTCAACGCTGTCTGCTACGGTGCTAAGCTTATGCTTCCCGGTCTTCTGAGATACGGTGAGTTGTCAACCCCACGATGTCACATATGATTGACATGCTGATCCGCTTTTCTAGAGTCCGAAATTGAGGTTCACGATGAGGTCGTTCTCATGACCACCAAGGGTGAGGCCATCGCCCTCGGCATTGCTCAGATGTCCACCGTCGAGATGTCGACATGCGGTAAGATTTCTCTCTTCTCATTGCAACCTTATGACTCTTTTGACTAATGGAAAACAGATCACGGCGTGGTTGCCAAGGTCAAGAGATGCATCATGGAGCGCGACTTGTACCCCAGAAGATGGGGTCTTGGTCCCCTCGCCTCCGAGAAGAAGAAGATGAAGGCCGACGGCAAGCTCGACAAGTACGGCCGCCCCAACGAGGCCACTCCCGCCAAGTGGGTGTCGGAGTACAAGGACTTCGGAGCTCCTGCTGGTGAGGCTGCTCCTGCAGCGGCGGCTCCGGCCACTCCCCAAAAGGCGGTGGAGTCTACGACAGCTACTCCCGCCGCAGTCACCCCTGCCAATGCCGAGGATGATGGCGAGTCCAAGAAACGCAAGAAGCACGAGGGCGAGACACCCGACGAGAAGGCGGAGCGCAAGCGTCGGAAGGCTGAGAAGAAGGCGGCCAAGGCCGCGAAGAAGGCAGCCAAGGGTGGTGCTGACGACGATGACGACAGCGAGTAAGCTCCTGCGAGTTTCCTCACCTCGATTGGCTAAGATACCATGTGTTTGTTGGCAATGGTCGGTGGTTGGCTGTTGTATCATAAAAAAATGGCTTTGGCAAGTGGCGTTTGGCTCTGAATTTTTCTGTCTCTGAACATAGTGCGTACTGGCTGGATAGGAGTAGATAGGTCCTATACGGAAAGCAAAAGTGACGACTACTACTGTCGCATCAGTTCACGTTTTAACCAGAGGCTGTCACTGTCTCGACGTTATCGCAAACATATCAGGAGTTGTTGAGCAGAGGGTGTTGAAACAAAGGCACACGCAAAACGCTGGGTAGGGACTTACGTACTCCCGGCAGCATCCCAGCGGGATTTCAGACTGCAGCACAGTTCGGGTCCCGGACCAACGTGGATCTCGTCCGAACGAGTTTTGTTTGGGAATCTCAGTCATAAACAGCGCCAATATACGTGTTCCGTCCTTCGTCCGAAGACGGGTTCCCTACCCTATCACACTATCTGCCTATCAACCATGAAGGGGAAGGGAAAAAATACAAGGAAGCATTGTCACCAAGCATGTCTCAGACCACATGCCTTGGCCAACCAAGGAAACAGCAGCAACTGCCACTGACCCTCCTTGATGCCTCGTAGAATTGGGTATAATGCAACCAAGAATACCGTGACCGGGTATAATTACTGGAGGTGCGGATCCCCTCTCAATGCTCCCCTGAGATGGCACTCGTGGCAGCACGTCACCCCCGCCTTTTTTTGTGTCTTGTCCTCTCTTTTTTCGTCGTTTCCTCGACGTCTTGAAGTCTTCTAGGCACGTGTATAGGGACCAAGTATGGATGCAAATCATTTCCCCCCCTTCACAGCCCCCGTGCCCCCCGGTCTCCAGGATCAATGATTGCCGGTTCCTGTTGCGCCTCATCCCTCACGCCCTGCTTCGCCCATGCCCGATCAGCGGGGCGCCGACACCGCCAGTGGAAGATCTCCCCGTGGACCTACAGAACTTACCCATCCCTCAACCCCCGGTTACCGTCCGTCGACTTGGGAGAGAGCCACTACCGTCATCCCGGTCAACCAAAGTACATCCCGTGTGGCACCACGATCTGAACCCAACCCAAGTCCCCCCCAAGAGCCTCCTTTCCTGCCCATGACGACGCGGGAGTCGGGAACAACAAGGATTAACTCTATACCAAGGGTACAGTCTCTTATGTGGCTGCGGTCTAGAGGAATGGGGCGGAAGACGGGTGCCGGAATCCTATGCATGCTATGCAAATCCTTTTTTTCTCCGATCTGGGCAAATTTTCTACCTTAACGTGGACTAGGAGAATTGATGTACAAAAAAGGTGAGCACTATTGGATTATCGTGGGGAGGAAGCCTAACAGGATGCTATCTGACCACCCCGACGGAGCCCATCTGACGCGCGCCGAGCCCTAAGAGTGTAAAAATTGATCTTCCAAGCAGGGAAAATAGGAAGAAGGGATCTTAATGCCGGGAGAGAAGTTCTAGCTTCGGGTATCCGGTCAAGGAGTGAGAGAAGGGCGTAAGTGTGAGAAGCTGCCACGCACTTTGACGACACACACCCCCCCGGCCCACCTGTTTCAAGCATCATCTGCTTTGACGTGCCATGGAACAGAGCCCACCACAATCCGTGAGAGGTATCCTCCTTCCGCTACTTGCTGGAGCTTCCCTCAACGATCTCTCTCTCCACACGCATTTGCAGTGATAATCTCATTCCTGCATAGCTGAGAGCTGGGCGCAAGCTTAGAGCAAGGAAAAAGATTTCCCAATGGTACATGTTTCCGGCCAAGGGGAAGGGGGCGGGTTCGTCCTCTTACACACCTATACCCACACACACTCGCGCACGCATCAAACTTGTCAGTCTCTTCTTCGGGGTGTAAGCTGTCGTAGCTGTAGCTTGTATGAGTATGTGCTCTTGTTTTGTTTGACTACAAGAAGGGCCCTTCGTCCGCACGATCCTCGAAACCGTTTTCCTTCTCGAAGTTCGCTATGACACTCATGACGGCAGCACTTTGCTTATGAACAAGTAATGTGTACTCAGTAATTGGATTCTAATAGACCTGTTCCAATTTCGTTCTTCAAAGAGTACAAACAACCCAGAAACCCTACCTACCACACACAGAAAGACCCCTTCTCATCATCAGCCCAGGGAAAAGACTATCCTCTTCTTGGACGTGAAGACCTTGGTCTAGTTCAACATCTGTTTTGCACGGTTGTGTGCCTTGTTTATATCATACCCCCTCTTATACATAATTGTCAATATCTATTATACCCCAGAGCGAGAGACAGAGAGATACACATTTACAATGCTTTCAACAACATCACTACGGCAATATGCCCTCCTCGCAGCAGGTATCTTCAGTCTAGGGGCTTTCCAACCCGTTCTTGGCGCACCAGTAGACGCCCTCTACGTCGTCGGCCGAGACGACAAGGTCCTCACGCCCAAGATCAACACCGACTTCCCAGACCCGGCCCTCGTCCAGGGTGACGACGGGCTCTGGTACTCCTTCGCGACTAACGGCAACGGCAAGAATATCCAGGTCGCGAAAGCCACGCAAATCTCCGGCTCATGGGAACTCCTCGACAACGACGCCCTCCCCAACGTCGGCTGGGCCACGGGATCCAACACCTGGGCGCCCGACGTGCGGAGGCTCGACAACGGCAGCTTCATCATGTACTACTCTGGCGAAGTCAAGGACGGCGGCGGCCGGCACTGCATCGGCGTTGGCATTTCTGATATTGTCACGGGCCCTTACAAGCCGACGTCAGAACCGTGGGTTTGTCCGTTCGACCAGGGTGGTGCCATCGACGCTGCCGGTTACTACGATGAGCCGACCAAGAAGCGCTACGTGGTGTACAAGGTGGACGGCAACAACGTCGGCAACGGAGGCGACTGCAACAACGGCGTCGAGCCGCTCGTGGACACGCCCATCATGCTCCAGGAGGTAGAAGCGGACGGCATCAGCAAAGTCGGCGACCCGGTGCAGATCCTCAGCCGGACGGCGGCCGACGGACCCCTGGTGGAGGCGCCGGACCTGGTGCGCACCGAGGACGGGCTGTATATCTTGTTCTTCAGCAGCTTCTGCTTCAACTCGAACAATTACAACGTCAACTACGCGACGAGCAGGAACATCAAGGGCCCCTATCAGCGGCCGTCGAGGATGCTGCTCAAGACGGGCGACTTCAACCTCACGGCGCCCGGCGGCGCGACGAGCGTTGCTGGGGGCGGGCAGATGCTGTTTCACGGCAACTGTCCCGAGACTTCGCCTCAGCGGTGCATGTATCAGACGAGCTATTCGGTTACCGGCAGAGATGTCATCATCAGTTAAGAAGGCATGGAACAAAAGAGATGGAAAGAGAAAGAGAGGGACTGAGAGGGAGGCGGTTAATGACAACAGTAATCATATTTGATGCATGCCGGTCCTGGTTCGTTCAGGGATCAAAAGCCGGCAACGGAAAAAGCGTTTGGACATATTTCAGCGATGCAAGAGAGGGAGTGCAAGAATGCATGCACAGCCGGAAGTCTAATCCGGGTTTGGATTTTTGTTTTTGGGGCGCGTTTCTTCTCATCTGCGGGCGTTTGGATCACATCGACATAGCGACTGGAGCTTTGAACACACACCCGTTTTATGAGACAAACGAGAGAAGAGAGAGACACGCATGAGAGAGAGAGAACAAGACAAAGGGTGTTACTCCACACCCAGGTAGTCGGAATGGACGGAAGCAACGTCGCGCGATGACGGGTGAATCGGAATCGAAGGCGAGAATACAAGATATTGGGTTTTCCTTTTAGTTTCTAGTTTTGGTGAGATATACGAATCACGAACTCCCATGAATCCGTATTCAGAAGAACACTCGAACACCTCAGTGATGCAAAAGTGACAAGCTTTCAGAGGTGAAAAAAAAAGTTCGGCTCAGTAAGACAAGACCAGCAGACAGACAAGGTGACAACAGAGTTTTGCCAGGGGTGTAAAGGGAGTCCGAGGAAAAGAAGCTCATGCCAGCAGGGAACCCATGCGGAATTGGGTGCGGCATGCTTAACAACCCCCCTAATAGCAGACGTCTGGTAAAAGGGTTGTCAACCAAAAAGGGAACTCTCAACATATGTAGACAGGCCGAGATTTGGATGGTTTCCGTAAAGGCATTGAGATTGGAAAAGCGACCGGGGTGGTGTGTATTGTGGCTGAAGGCTGACGGGGCCAAGGATGGAAAAGGGAGAGATGCTTCCTCTGTAAAGTGATGGAGAAGAGAATGAGAGAAAAGGGAAAGAGCATTGACGAGACCCAGAACTGATCGCCAACGAGCGACAAGCCAAGTACCGCGGTACCTTGGCCGGACCCCACTTTGTCCACTTGGGTCCCGCTGTGGAACCCACTGGGCCGAGCTCACGGCTTTTAGTGGAGAATGTAAATGCCCCGATGGAAGGAGCCAAAGGGAACCAACAGTGGGAGACAGGCGTGGCAGGCAAGACAGGAAACCAAATGCCACTGCCAGTTGTAAGCGCCGGGCTTCGCTGACTGTCACTCACACTTTCGTGGTAAGACGCCAACACTCCAACAGAACAGACCTGACCAACCAGATCCATCGCCAAACGCCGTGTTCCCATTGGCACAACGATTCCTCCCATTCCTGCCCCCAACTCCCATGGCCCTTGTCATCCATGGGTGCATCTCGCAGCCGCCCGCCATCATCACTAACATTGCACCATGCATCCCACCAACGCCAGGCACAGGCACAAGCACACTCGCGGGCACACGCGGGCACACATATGCGCAAAATCATTAAGGGGAAAACCACACTATCGATCGCGTGCACCACCATATTGGGGGCAGATGGAGAGATGTGCATCGTCCAGCGGCCGCTAACCAAATACACATCGCGGCGGACCAACAAGCTGCCGCCCTGAGGTGTCGCGCCACACACCGTCCTGCAAGTGCTGGGAAGTCTTTAGCGCTCTACCGTCTTCCCCATCGCCTGTTCACCTGACGAGCTTT